CATTTCTTCACCTCCCTCTCCACCCTCCATACAGATACACAGTCATGTCGCTCTCCCCTGCAGTAACACTATCTCCTCTTTTTCACCTCCAGTTCTACACAATAACCAGCAGAGGGAGCCAGAGCTGTTTGCTGTGGAGCCCCTGGAAAGCATACCGAGCCCTGAGGTGGATGAAAACATACGTGATGATGAAAGGCCCACTGAGAGTCAGTCTGACTTCAAGCCTAACATCTGAGACATCCCCCTCCCATTCCACAGGGGTCTCTGCAGCGGCACCTGGCTCCCCCACACTCCCGGAACCGTACACACATCCCAGAACTTTTAAGAAGCTACAGGTATGGTCGTTGAAGTTGCTGAAGAGGACCCTTATTGTCGGGGACTCTAATCTCTCCCGCATCCCCCCCCTTTACAGACCCCCACCTTCAGATAGATAGCTTTCCGGGTGCTAAATTCCATCACATAACCTCGATTCTCAATAAACTTCCCCCATGTCACAACACCTCACAAGTTATAATATCAGTAGGACTCAATAATGGACTCTCAGACACTGCACTCTCATCTTCGATTAAACAACTACACGCCATGTGGAAACAGAGTACTCTCTGCTTTCCAAACGCCACCATTTACATCCCCATCATAAACTTTTCCAACAGTCTGACCACCCACCAGCAGACTGCACTCACCACACTCAACAACACCATAGCTTCCAAATACAACTTCATACCAGAAATAAACCCACTACTCTTCCATGTCACTTCACGTGACAACATGCACTGGACCCTGCAGACGGCCGAGATGTTACTCAAGTACTGGAAGCAGCATTTAAACTACTGAACGGGGATCATAATTGCATTACAACTCCTCACCGCTCAAATATAACCAACCTCTCTGCCGTTTTCTCCCCCACGGCCGCACAGCTGGAGCTACTGGAAAAAGGTTTATCATTCATTCCAACACCCAAACTCCCCACCCGACCGGAGATCAGGGCGGACCTCCACGCCTTCCACAGGCGGATTAAGATCATGGACCACTTCCTGGGGAGCCAGGGGCGGGAACCTGTTCTGTTCACCGGACCGTCCACCTGGGAACCACACACGGCAACATCAACACCTGAAATAACACAACTAATTAATAAAAATCTACTAGCACTCACACATTGGCGCCCCCTTCCACATAGCACACACAACATTAGCCAGGAACAATTACAAATGATTAAAACATTAGGTAACAGCCAACACATAGTCATCAAACCTGCAGATAAGGGGGGCCAAATAGTCATACAAGATAGGGACAATTATATATTGGAAGCACATAGCAGTTAAATGACAACACATACTACAGATCACTGACGCACAACACTTCAATTGGAAACACAAACACTAGTTAGGGACATTACAGCAACACTCTACACTAACAAGATCATAAACAAAAACAATATCTGGATGGTCCGGAGGAGCCCAGGCCCCGCCTCTTCTACCTGCTCCCCAAGATCCACAAGCCTGTGGAGACGTGGACGGTCCCCTCTGTGGTTCCGGTCGGCCGCCCCATCATCAGCGACTGCGGTTCAGAATCCTACAACATAACAGAATACATCGATCATTTTATTAATCCCCTATCAAAACTCCACCCCAGTTATCTCAGAGACACTTATGATTTTGTTAACAAAATAAAAAACCTCACAGTACCCAGCCACACTCTCATTTTCTCCATAGACATAGTCTCACTTTATACCAACATTGAAATCCCACTTGGCTTCACCGCAATTCAGCACTCCTTCAATAAAAACCCAGACCCTTCCAGACCCGACAGCCAAATCATTCAGTTGCTCCACCTCACACTCACCCGCAATGACTTCATGTTCAACAATAACCACTACCTCCAGCTGTGTGGTTGTGCGATGGGCCGGAAATATGCGCCAGCCTACGCGGATATTTACCTGGCCCATTGGGAGGAAACGAATGATAATAATACCAGGTTATATTTGGAATTTTCCACACCCCTCATTATATATTAAGTATAGCAGGGACATGCAGTCTGGCTTGTTTATTTCCCCATATACATTCTGTAAATAATCTTCTAACTTTCTGAAAAAAGTCGTTAAGTGAAGGTAAAGGAATATTCTGAAGTAAATAAAGTATCTTAGGAAGTATATTCATTTGTATTATATTTATTCTGCCAACCAAAAGATAAGAGGCAGGGTAATCCATCTATCAATTGATTTTGTTATTTTATCTATCAAAGGTTCGTAGTTTTTAACAATCCAATCTAGTTTGTATTCCCAGATATGTGAATTGATCTACCTCTTTACATTTAGAAGCTTCTGTAGGAGAATTGTCCTTGTCCGTCTCATTAAGGAAAAGCATGGAGGATTTAGTGTGATTGATTGTATACCCTGATATGGCGTGGAACGAGTTTACTAATTCCAACACAGCAGGAATTGTTCTATTTAGGTGAGAGATAAACAAAATGACGTCATCGGCGTATAAGGAAAGCTTATGTTCTGTCTGCCCAATTGTTATTCCCACAATTTCTGTATGCATCCTTACAGCTAGTGCAAGTGAGTTGATTGCTAGAGTGAATAAAAGTGGGGACATGGGGCATCCCTGACGGCATCCTCTTTTAATTAGAATCTGTTCTGATATGTCTTTGTTAGTTAATATTTCTGCTGTAGGATTTAAATACAATAATCGAACCCATTTCAAAAATATATTCCCATATCCAAATCTTTCCAAAGTATTAAATAGGTAGGGCCATTCCACCTTATCAAAAGCCTTTTCGGCGTCTAAAGATAGGAGGGCCTTATTCGAAGTAACCTCCAAGCCTTGGATAATATTAAGGACCCTCCTAACGTTGTGGTAGGCTGCCATTCACACACAAAATACTAATAGACAGTATACTCCGGGTAATTTACCCTACGGTCAGTACATTATAGTTGCCGTTCCTAACCGAGCTACCGTTCATAGCGTGTATGCTACCGAGATAAACAACGACGCTACTGAGAGGTAGACATGCTAGGCGAAAACATTGCTTTTATGCAAGCTAAAAATAATGACCGAACGTAGCAGACTAACGTATAAGATTGCAATTGTAAACACGTTATTGCTAGCCTAATATGAACCACTAGCTTTTGTTCATAGTAGGTTGGCATATTACACTGAACAACTAGCAAACGTACACTGTAAAAAAAAACTCGTAAAAAAACGGTCAAAGTACTGGCAGCAGCGGCTGCCAAACAAAAACCCTTCAATTAAAGTAAAATACTTTAACTGAAATAAAGTGAATAAGCCATTAATTTACGGGAATTGTCCTTAAAGATTTTAAAGGAAAACACTGTAATTTTACAGATTGATCTGCTCTTTTTACAGTCAATAACCTTAAATAAAAGTACAGCACTAAAACTTCTACGGGCAAAAAACCCGTAAAAAAAGATCAAATGACTGGCAGCAGCGGCTGCCAAACAAAAACCATCAAATTAAAGTAAAACTACATTAACTGAAATATGTACTTAAAGATTTTAGAGGAAACTTTCCTCTCTTTTCAAAATCCATCCAAAGTTCTACAGCTAGAATACTGTTATTTTACAGCTTTTTTTTTTACATTTTCCAATCAAACAGGTTCAATAAAATGACATCACAAAATGTTCTGTAGGAAACAATTACTCTTAAAAAATATAAAAATATTTGTAGAATTATAGTACAACTAATGAATACAGCATTTCATATTTAAACATCATACTTATAGAAACAAAAAGTAGAAACAAAAAGTAAGTTGAATTGTTTTAAGATTACTTTGAAACATTCTCAACTGAAAATAACAGAAATTGCAAAATGGCGACATATGTTCACATTGTCAATGTGAAGGAGCAGTGTGCAGGATTTAGTACGTCTAACAATGGGGATGTAGGTTCCAACCAATGGATAACTTGTTCACTCACCCTCCTATCCCAAGTGTGTAGGATATATTGGCTGCAAAAAACTTGAGGCCCAATCATGTTTCCTCTGTCCATTATGCGCTGCTGTAGACGTGGCAGTGCAACCGAGAGGGCAAAAAGATCAGAATCAGAAACGGGTTTATTGCCAGGTAGGTTCACACGTACGAGGAATTTGACTAGGTGTCGTACAAATATATAAAAATAAAAAACAAAAATCAAAAAAAGAACTATATTAAGAACACTGTAATAAAAATATAGTAAGATAGCAATAAAATAAAGCAGTAATTTACATCGAAATAGAATGCAATAAATTATAGAATATAAAATATGTGCAGTAAGCAATAGTTAAACATTGCATTATTTACCATCCTGTGATCTCCATTATGTAATGCATAGAGTCTGCGTTGTGGCTGAGGTAAAGTGTCAGTGTAAGGGGCGGGCCTTGTTGAGGTGGAGAGAGGTTTTGGTCCTGATGGAGAGAGGTTTTGGTCCTGATGGAGAGAGGTGTTGGTCCTGATGGAGAGAGGTGTTGGTCCTGATGGAGAGAGGTGTTGGTCCTGATGGAGAGAGGTGTTGGTCCTGATGGAGAGAGTTGTTGGTCCTGATGGAGAGAGGTTTTGGTCCTGATGGAGAGAGGTTCTGGTCCTGATGGAGAGACGTTCTGGTCCTGATGGAGAGAGGTTCTGGTCCTGATGGAGAGAGGTTCTGGTCCTGATGGAGCGCAGCCTCCTGCCAGAGGGGAGGGGGGTGTACAGTTTGTGTCCAGGGTGGGAGGGGTCGGCCACTATCTTCCCTGCCCGCCTCAGGGTCCTGGAGGCATGCAGGTCATGGAGGTGTGGCAGATTGCAGCCGATCACCTTCTCTGCAGAGCGAATGACCCGCTGCAGCCTGCCCTTATCCTTGGCTGTGGCTGCAGCGTACCAGATGGTGATGGAGGAGGTGAGGATGGACTCGATGATGGAGGTGTAGAAGTTCACCATCGTCGTCTGTGGCAGGTTGAATTTCTTCAGCTGCCTTAGGAAGAACATCCTCTGCTGGGCTTTTTTGATGAGGGAGCCGATGTTCTGTGGAGTCGGGCACGTGCAGCTGGGAGAGCTTGTCCTGCAGCAGAGCCGGGATGATGGTGTTGAAGGCGGAGCTGAAGTCCACAAACAGGACCCTGGAGTAGGTTCCTGCTGTGTCCAGGTGCTGGAGGAGGAAGTGAAGTGATAACTATTAGTAAACCATAATGATGGATTTTATTATCAGCAGCTGCCAATAGATCCCTTAAATCTTGTATGATGGACCACACACACACACACACACACACACACACACACACACACACACACACACACACACACACACACACACACACACACACACACTCACACACACACACACACACACACACACACACACACACACACACACACACACACACACTGTAGAATTATATTTGTATTTATTCATGTTAGCAAACTATGGATAAGCTTAAAATGGGAATAATTTGGGTAAAACTGTGAGCTGGATATGGGGCCTGTTGACATGTGTTTTTGAGGACAAAGGAAGATGGGGGAAGGTGAGAGCATGTCCTGATTTGCATTCAACTTAGATCTAGCTACCGTGTTTGTGATATTAAGAGAGGTCCCTTGGGTTTCTCTGGTGGTTATCAACAGTAGCAGTTAAGTGAATACTGTTCAAACAATACCTGTGTTTGTGTTTTATATTGATTTCTCTGTTTTATCCTTTCATAAATGTAAGGACTACAAATGGCTATAAACATTCTGGGCTGGTTGGAGTAAACAGGGTTTTATTGCTCTGTGGGGGAGGTGTGGGTATGCAGGCCTTGAGACCTTTTGTTGGAAAGTGAGCCTGTTTGGTTTCCTGCTGGCCAGCGTTGCGTCTCCCAATGAGATGACCTGAAAAGATGACCAGCTGACCTAACACCAAACCCCTCCTTCTTACTCTGGTATATATCCGGTGGATCCCTGGCGTTCGGCCTCTTCTTCACATGCTGCCCTCGGGTGAAAGTAGCTCTGCAGTATGCGAACCAGGGCAGGAGTAAGCCGGCATTACTCCTTAAGCATTACAATATAACTGTAATATATCATGTTGTATTGTAATGATTGTATTGCATTGTCATATTGCCATTAAAGTAGATTATTGTTAACGGTTACTTTGTAGATATGGATTCCTTCCTGTATTATAACCAGCTTCATAGGAACGCGCGGAGATTTGAAAAGCGGACCAGTTATCCCTCCAAATCTCTAACAAAATGGTGACCCGACGTCTAGATATAACGAAGCTGAGGAAGAATTCAGACGCTTTCAAACATCTCAGACAATCAGCAGGACTCTGCAACTTTGCAAATAAGGTAAGCAGACGATGAAAGTCGCCTGTCTGTAATTGGATACGCTAAAACTTTAGGATTGTCTGTAGGCGTTTCACAGTGTTTTTATAGTTTAAATGGAATATACAATGCATATTTTACTATGTTAGGAAAGTTATATACAAAACGTAAACGTTGATCGACAGGTAGACGAAAGTCCTGCGTGACGTAAAATAGAGCAGTTTGGCGTGGATCTGCAGGTGTTTATTCCTGAGTGGCGTGGAGATGGTGCAGTTTGTGTGAATGCGAGGTTTGATTCCTGCACGACAAAACCTGGAAACTCGATATATCAGATCGAGTCGCCGTTTAAAACTGGGGTTTAAATAACAGACCAATGCTAAAAGCTTAAAGCCAGAGGTCTGTTATATATTAAACCAAGGGAGAGCGTTTCCCTTTGTCTGGAAACTTCTGCTGCTGCCATCTAGTGGCTGAAAGGGGGTATCACACCCTTGAAACTTCTGCTGCTGCCATCTAGTGGCTGAAAGGGGGTATCACACCCTTGAAACTTCTGCGAGCTAAAACTGGTACAAAAACAATAAGGGATTGAACATTTTTTACAACGACAGCACCAGGAGATGAGTAAACTCAAGAATCTGTAGAATGTAAATACATTGTGCAAAACACATTTTACACTCGAACTGTTTGCAAATTTAGACAATATAAATAAATGTTCAGAAAGAAGACATAGGCCTACACTTGATTCAAATTTCATTACTGTGATCCGATTGGTGTGCTCTGCAGGTTTACTATTGTTCGAAGTAACAGTGGGATTTAAAATGAGAGAAGATATGGAGATGTTCTTTCATAGTGTGTGGAATATGTGATGCTGGAAACATGTAAGTATTTCAGAGTTGTGTTGGGTAAATATGTAACAATGGATGAAACAATTTTTGGAGTGAGTTTTTGTAATATCATAAGTAGACATTAATTATGTTGTTTAGATGGCATTTAACAACTAAGACAGATAGTATGATTAGAAAGAGACAGAGTGGAAAGGGTTGGATTTATTTAACATCAGTGGGCTAGACTTCTTATAGGTAATGTGTACCGGGACCTGGACTCCCCCTCTGAGTTAGAAAGGCTTTGATCCCGACCCTCCAAGCAGACAAAAAGACCTAACCCAACAGGAGACTCCTCCTTCTCCATCGTACAGACAGAGAACCAGAGCTGAACCAACAACAACAACAAAACTACATCAAGACTGCAGCCAGAACTATCTCCACCTGTGGCATCCAGAACCAAACCAGCATGCTGACAAAGAGGCAAACTCTCATCGGTCCCTCAAACAGGACATGAAGTTCCAAACTGCGCCGCGAGATTTGGCACAATAGACATGAGAGCAGAATCCGCCCTCCATAAAAACAGCAGAGAGACTGTAAAGGAGGAGTGCAACAACAGTGGCATGATGGGGCTGCAGATGTGACTGGGCCAATGGCTGCCTACAAAAGTTACAGCGGATGGATTCAACAGCTGATGGACTGAAGAGAAGACAGAATCAGAGGAGTTGGCATGGTCGATTAGAAGTGAGGAGGCCGGGGGTCACGGCTTGAGAAAACCAGGGGAGGAGGAAAGGAGAACGGGAATGAGTGAGTTACACATAAACACACTTATTCACGAAACGCACATTTAAATAACTTGAATTAACTTCATAAATACGTAAAGACAGAAAGATTTATTAATCATTTGGTAAATTAAAAATAGCAGTAAAGAGGAAACTATTAAAGTAAAATGATAATCATCCTAAAACACACTGACAGAGTAGAACCATATTCTTCAATATTTTCATCATGTTAACAATTCATTCTTTAAGACATTTTTATTCACGTGTGAATAAAGTAGTGATCTCATTGGTTACAATATTGATCACCATTAAAAGGATAGTTTTAGGAACCACTCTATAGGACAAATCTTTGTTTGTATTAATGGCTAGTGCCAAGCCACATATTAAATTCCAATCTAAAGTGTTGATTTCACCATTGTGGCATAGTTATTACCAGACTTCGGTTTTAAATCCTTGATAAAGGAGGGAGTAATTGTTGCATGTTCGGACACCCAAGGTTCCACACACTGCTAAAAGACTTTAACATTGTTTTTTAAGTAGACCAGAATTATAATGACCTATGAAATGCAGAGCGACACAGATCCTAGTAATGTCTTGACTCAAGATAATAGTTATGTACACAAGTTTCTGAAATAGATCATTAGACATTTTAATACTAATTAGGTGTAATTGGATTGCAGTAGTAGTGGTACTCGAAGGAAGTGAGTTTTGTACCAAGTTTCAGGAAAAGTGGGAGGCGGAAGTCCCAATGACAAGTGAGAATCATCTTGAAAATTATAGTTGAAATCGTGACATATTTTTGTAGACAAAGGATACTGGCCTATGCTGAAATGTCAAAGTCTCTGCAGAGCACGACACATGGCCAAAAAAGACGGAGACCAACTGACCTTTGACCCTGACCGACAGTGTCACTTGACAAGGCACTGTGGATGACTGACTCTGGGGTGAACCTGACCAAACTTGACATGACAACCAGACAGTGTGAGTGTGAATGTATGCCGGCATGTGATCAGTGTAACTGCATGATTCTAAAACAATAACTAACCAAGCATGTTTTTGGACTAACATATTATTTTGGAGCTCCAAGGGAAACGAGAGGTTTCCTAAAAATTCCACAAAAAGGGGAAACCGCACATGTGATATTTTCCTCTCACATGAGTTGGCGGTTTGCAAATGTCAAACTAAAATCTGAAGATTCTGTTTCTTTTAGGCCTGAAGGACGGAGAGGAACACTTCTTTTCACTGAAGTGTTTACTGTGGAAATAATGATAATGATGTCAAATTTAAAATAATGTTTGTTATGTCCCTAACCAATTACCTGACAGTTTTTGTTCCCCTCCCATTACAGGCTTTTGTTACACATGATTTCATGTGTAAAAGGGGGGAGTGAGTATAATGTATAAAGGTTAACATGGCTGTAAAATTCACAATTTAAATGTTTCTTTTAAGGATTGACAGAAACCTTCCGCCCCAACCCAGATGTTCAAACTGAGCATTGAATGTAATTAACCTGCTCCATATCTGGGGATAAGATACTGTTTGATGAATGTTGAGATGTTTCTAAATATTGATTTGAATTATAGCAGGTAACAAAGAAGTAGTGGCCAAGGGGCTACTGTGAAACCGAAGAAGTTGACCTGTGATAATGAAACAATTTTGTAATATTTTAACAGACATTAGAGTAACTGAGGTTTGAAATGTAGAAAGAACATATTACAGTTAAGTTAAGCTAAAACATAGTAGTGTATTGAGACAGAATTTAATTTAGACAACATCATGTAACTAGCCCGGTAAAGAAGTAAAAGCCATAGACTTTATTATTTAGGTCATTATGAGGATATACATTTCATCTACATTTAGAATAGAAAGACATTTGATGACAGTTTGTTGGAATTCTGTATTCATTTTTTCAGCGTGATAATATCTAAGCACTGACAGGTAGAAGCAGTATCACCAGGAAATCATTCACTTTGTTAGTAACATGATTTTGGTTGTTTTTGAATCCATAACATTAGTGTGTTTCTTTGCCAGAAACATTAGCAGTTCATATTATATTTGGATTTTAAATAGGATTTCATTTAAAAATAAACACGGATGCTTGTCAGAAATTCAGAGCTATTGAAATATGTTATTTAGTTTACCTAAAGATGTTGAGGTTCTTATTTAGTTGGCACAATCCAAGTATTAAGATTCTGAAGCTGCACTGGCAGATAGGAGGTCTACAATTAATTTGGAAAACCTGTTCACAGACGTCTGTTGTTTCAAGACACCCCACCAACAGGCTCCAAGTGGGTCAAAACAGCTGAGCGTAGGCTTGAGGGAGTTGTATCAGATTTCTCCACACAGGTCGCTGGCGCCAAAAGGGGGACCCGAGAAGCACGAGGCCGACAGCAGAGTTCGTCTGGCTGAAAGTCATCAGGACAAAGTGGCTCAACCCCAGGCTCTCCGACCCCGACCGAGTGACCCAGCGGACCTCTTATGCCGTCTGCCTGGGAGAAAAGAGGGACAGCTCGTACCACGGGAGCCAGTGTGCGGCGGGGAAACCACCTACTAGGACCAGGGGACGACATCAGGACGGACGTGGCCCTGGCAGACGTGGACTACTCGGAAGCAGCGGACTGGAGGACCAGGACCCTGGAGACATCCTTACAGCAGACGACCCGGGAGGCATCATCAGCGGGCCGGAGAAGGAGGATCGGGAAGACATCTCTACAGCATCGACCCGGAAGCCGCCATCAGCGGGCCGGAGGACGAGGAGGAGGAAGACATCTCTCTAGCAGGCAGCCCAGAAGCTGCTGTCAGCGGATTGGGGGGACAAAGACACGACAAGCCAGGACGGCACAGGGGACTTGTCGAGGCAGCAGAGGAGTCTACTTCGCTCTGATCAGTTCCACCCGTGAAGGGCAAGCTGCATCTCCCCCTCCCTATTAGCTGTCCTTGTGGGCTATTCCTCCGAGGGGGGGGGGGCTGATGATTCTAGCACTCAGCTACCCCCTCATGGTTCCTTCACTGCCATGGAAAGTGGTGTTCTGTCTCCATGAAGGTTTCAAGTACTCTAAATACCAGCTTCGGATGGATTTACGGACACAGTAGAAAAGAATGACAGTGGGTATATTTCAAAATGCCTTGTCTAAGTTTATCTCTGGAGAAGGAGATAAAAAGGGGGATTTGTAGAATTATATTTGTATTTATTCATGTTGGCAAACTATGGATAAGCTTAAAATGGGAATAATTTGGGTAAAACTGTGAGCTGGATATGGGGCCTGTTGACATGTGTTTTTGAGGACAAAGGAAGATGGGGGAACGTGAGAGCATGTCCTGATTTGCATTCAACTTAGATCTAGCTACCGTGTTTGTGATATTAAGAGAGGTCCCTTGGGTTTCTCTGGTGGTTATCAATAGTAGCAGTTAAGTGAATACTGTTCAAACAATACCTGTGTTTGTGTTTTATATTGATTTCTCTGTTTTATCCTTTCATAAATGTAAGGACTACAAATGGCTATAAACATTCTGGGCTGCTTGGAGTAAACAGGGTTTTATTGCTCTGTGGGGGAGGTGTGGGTATGCAGGCCTTGAGACCTTTTGTTGGAAAGTGAGCCTGTTTGGTTTCCTGCTGGCCAGCGTTGCGTCTCCCAATGAGATGACCTGAAAAGATGACCAGCTGACCTAACACCAAACCCCTCCTTCTTACTCTGGTATATATCCGGTGGATCCCTGGCGTTCGGCCTCTTCTTCACATGCTGCCCTCGGGTGAAAGTAGCTCTGCAGTATGCGAACCAGGGCAGGAGTAAGCCGGCATTACTCCTTAAGCATTACAATATAACTGTAATATATCATGTTGTATTGTAATGATTGTATTGCATTGTCATATTGCCATTAAAGTAGAACGGTTACTTTGTAGATATGGATTCCTTCCTGTATTATAACCAGCTTCATAGGAACGCGCGGAGATTTGAAAAGCGGACCAGTTATCCCTCCAAATCTCTAACAACACACACACACACACACACACACACACACACACACACACACACACACACCCACACACACACACACACACACACACACACACACACACACACACACACACACACACACACACACACACACACACACACACACACACACACACACACACACACACACACACACACACTATTGAGAGCATCCCAAGGGCATTGATCATTTCATAAGTTTAGAAGGGTGGAACATAGTCTAACAACAGTTAGTTTTTGTTAATTTTACCTCGAGCCAAACTTGTGAGACTTGTTTCTGAAATCCCTTTCTCTTAAAGTGAATAAATAAACAAAAAAACGATGGAGCTTACCCTAAAACTAACCACTGGATTGCTTGTCTAACATGACCTAGTCCATAAATGAGGTAAGGGTGGGAACAATCAAACGCACCCTCCCAGGCACTGCGTGTTAGCGAAGTACAACTGGGATTTCGAAGAGGAAGATATGCTTGGTCAATTCTTAATAAAAAAGAAAAACAAACAAATTGAGCACTTGAGTTTTCAGTAGCAGCGCCTAGCTACAGCTGCGGAGCTTCGGTAAATACCACGAACAGTCTATTTCCTTAAAATGGTACATATAGCTGAATCTATATTTTCATCTTCCGGTGATGACATCTGCATAATGTCCCTGTACAATAAGGTTCGAGCATTTTGTAATCCAGTGAGGAAATTCAAGACCAGTAAATATTGATTGATTAAACAACACTAAATAAAATGTTAGTGTTTTCTTCAAACTCAGACTCTCTGCTGCAGCTGTACCTCAAAGACAAAACAATTGTCTGATGATCTTTGTCTGATTGTCCTGTACTTGTACAATGTGGGGTATTTTTAAATACTTTACTAAACCACATTCAATCTTATGTTACACACAAGTTAGTTATTACTCACATATCAAAGTCTTTTCATCTGCAAGATGGAAGAATAGCTGGGTGCTGGCTGGAGAGACTGATGAGGGACACAGGCTGGCGTCAGCAGCTTTCCACACAAAGCCATCACATCTTCTCTTCCATAGTCCTCACTGTCCACTGGTGCTCTGTCAAAAGAGTGAACATCACAGCTGTCATGTTAACCCTTTGTTACACAACATACAACCAACATGCGTCAAAAGTGACCCGAATTAGTTTTAATTGTAAATATCTTTGCAATAAATTACTTGAACCATTCAGGATTCCAGGTATTCCTCAATTAACCTGTTTTGGATCAACACCAATTCTAATTTTTTTTTTTTATTTCTTACTTTTTGAATAAAAATCATGTTTGTATCACTACACTTCTAAGGGACAACATGGGTCAAACATTACCTGTATTCTTTTGCTATGTTATTTCATGCATGGCTGAGTGTTTCTTTACTATACAATTTCAAAAAGAATTATTTTAGCAATGATTTGGACCAAGCATGTATGATGTAGTAATACAAAAAGTATTTTGGTTCACACAGTGTGACATTAGCTAGTCATGTTAGCTTGTAAAATATAGAGCAGAGCTAACTTGCAAGTTAGCCGAACATTAGCGGTTAGCTGTTTATGCTATACTAACAAACTAGATTCCGCTGTAAGAAAGCTGTGAAACTTTACATTAAACTTGGCGACAACACTGTGACACCCGCATGTTACGCATGTTTATGTGTAATTCTCCTGTGTTGGAAACGAGAGGGTGGGGGGGGCAGCACTGCAATAAGCTGTAAGCTAACGTTAGCAGCCACATGTTAAGCCGGGTTTCCCGGGCGCAACATCTTGCAAGAAACAGCATCTCAGGGCTTCTTAACATTTAACAACCTATTAATGATGCATACCCACTTAATCAATCAATGTTTATTTGTATTTATATAGCCCAATATCACAAATGTTACATTTGTCTCAGTGGACTTCACAGTTTGTACAGAACATCAGTATGACAATACAGTCACCCTCTGTCCTTAGACCCTCTGTCCTTAGACCCTCTGTCCTTAGACCCTCACATCGTACAAGGAAAAACTTCCGGAGAAAACCCACAGTTTAAAGGGAAAAATGGCAGACACCTCAGGGAGAGCAACAGAGGAGGGATCCCTCTCCCAGGATGGACAGACGTGCAATAGATGCCGTGTGTAAATTGAAAAGATAATACATTTGCAACATAGGTAGTCCAAATGTTTGGAAATGCATGTGTGTATAATAGGAAGATGAATCCACGAGGATATCCATCCAGGACCTATGATCCAGGACCACAGCCACGACTCAAGATCCAGGGCTCGCGATGCAGGAAACAGGACCACAGGATCATCCATGACTCCGGATCCCAGCGTATATAGACACCAAAAAGAAAGACATTTGGGGAAGCTGGGTTAATCGTAACATGAGAGTACACAAGTATAGACAGAGAGAAGGAAGAAGTAAGATGTCCCCCGACAAACTAAGCCTATATCAGCAAAACTAGGGGCTGAATCTAATCAGCCCTAACTATAAGCTTTATCAAAAAGGAAGGTCTTAAGCGCACTCTTAAAAATGGATAGGGTGTCTGCCGCCCGAACACAAACTGGAAGCTGATTCCACAAATGTGGAGCTTGATAAGAAAATGCTCTGGCTCCCATTGTACTTTTAGAGACTCTAGGAACAACCAACAACCCTGCATTCTTGGAACGCAATGGGCCTAGTAGGACAGTAGGGTATAATTAGTTCTTTAATGTAAGATGGCGCCTGCCCATTAAGGGCTTTGTAGGCGAGAAGAAGAATTTTAAATTATATCCTGTGTTCTATAGGGAGCCAGTGTAAGGCAGCCAGAACAGGAGTAATGTGGTCCCTTTTCCTAACTCTGGTTAGTACACAAGCTGCAGCATTTTGAATCAGCTGAAGCGACTTGACTGACTTCTTGGTACACCCTGATAATAAAGAGTTACAATAATCCAGCCTTGAAGTAACAAATGCATGGACTAGTTTCTCTGCATCGTTTTGAGGCAAGATATGCCTGATTTTTGCAATGTTACGTAGATGGAAGTAGGCGGTCCTTGAAATTGATTTTATGTGGGGCGTTAAAGGATAAATCCTGATCAAATATAACACCAAGATTCCTTACAGTCTCACTGGAGGCCAAATTAATGCCATCCATAGTTAGTATATCCTTAGATAATTTGTTTCGTAGATTCATCAGGCTTGATTGATAAATATAGTTGAGTATCATCCGCATAACAATGAAAGTTTACAGAATGATTCCTTATAATATTGCCTAACGGAAGCATATATAATATGAACAAAATAGGTCCGAGCACTGAGCCCTGTGGCACTCCATGGCTAACTTTGGTTTGCGTGGAAGATTCATCATTGACACGTACAAACTGAGAGCGTTCAGATAGATAGGACCTAAACCAGCCTAAAGCAGTTCCCTGTATGCCAACTAAGTGCTCTAGTCTTTGCAATAGGATATGATGGTCGATAGTATCAAATGCAGCACTGAGATCTTAACGGGAAGAAACTCAGCTAACTAGAAGAAGAAACGTAACCTTAAATAAAAAATAAAACATTCACAAACTAAGGATTATCTAAATACATGTTTAACTCCATTACAGTTGCAGGACTCACCAGATCTCAAGTCTTCTGTTCTTTGTTGACGTCCCGATGCTCATATTGAACATGTAGATTTAAAACGATCCCGATATTAATCCATAAACTCCTGCAGCAGAAATACAGACAGCTGTAGCTCGGAGGAGGAGACCCGCTCAAACTGATGTGGAATTTTCAAATGTGAAGGACAGGCGTGGACAGTTCTAATTGGCAGGTGTCTTCGATTACGTTTATATTAACCAATCAGGAGTGTTGTGGACTCATTCCAAACATGCCTGACTTGTCTGCCGTGTTTTGGCTGAATTCTATTTCAAGTGCCGTAGCTCTGGCTGTCGGCCAGAATCCGAAACCCATACATTATACTGTAAAACTAAGGCAAGGCAAGGCAAGGCAAGGCAAGTTTATTTATATAGCACTTTTCAACACAAGGCAATTCAAAGTGCTTTACAAAAAATGAAAGAGATTAAGAAAATGGCATTTAAAATCAGTCATTAAAAAGAAAAGCTAATAAAATAAACATTAAAAGAAAAAATACATGGATAAAAGTTACAGTGCTGTCAATTAAACATTAAAAGAAAAAAGTACATGGATAAAAGTTACAGTGCAGTCTAAGATATGAATAGTTCAATTAAAAGCAGCGACAAAAAGAAAAGTCTTCAGCCTGGATTTAAAAGTAGTCCAGAGTTGTAGCGGACCTGCAGGTTTCTGGGAGTTGTTCCAGATATTTGGAGCATAATAACTGAATGCTGCTTTACCATGTTTAGTTCTGACTCTGGGGACAGAAAGCTGACCAGTCCCTGAAGACCTGAGAGATCTGGATGGTTCATAATTTAGCAGGAGGTCAGAAATGTATTTTGGGCCTAAACCATTCAGTGCTTTATAAACCAGCAGCAGTATTTTGAAATCTATTCTTTGACACACAGGAAGCCAGTGTAAAGACTTCAGAACTGGAGTGATGTGATCCACTTTCTTAGTGTTAGTGAGGACTCGAGCAGCAGCGTTTCTGAATTAGCTGCAGCTTCCTAATAGATTTTTTAGTGAGACCTGTGAAGACACCATTGCAGTAGTCGAGTCTACTGAAGATAAAAGCATGGACAAGTTTTTCCAAATCCTGCTGTGACATTAGTCTTTTAATCCTAGATATGTTCTTTAGGTGATAGTAGGCTGATTTAGTAACAGTTTTAATGTGACTGTTGAAACTCAGGTCAGAGTCCATGACTACACCTAGATTTCTGGCTTATCTGTTGTTTTGAACATTGCACACTGAAGCTCAGCGCTAAACTTTTATACGTTCTGCCTTGGCTCCAAAACCATTACCTCAGTTTTATCTTTGTTTAATTGGAGAAAGTTCTGACACATCCAGTCATTGATTTGTTCAATGCACTTACTCAGTGTTTGAATTGGAGCATAGTCTCCTGGTGAAATTGTTACGTAAATTTGTGTGTCATCTGCATAGCTATGGTAACTTATTTTGTTGTTCTTCATTATCTGAGCCAGTGGTAGCATGTAGATGTTAAAGAGAAGAGGCCCCAAGATGGAGCCTTGAGGAACCCCACATGTCATATTTGTCAACTCAGATGTGTATTTACCTATAGAAACAAAGTTATTTCTGTCCTTTAAGTAGGATTCAAACCAATTCAGAACTGTTTCCGAAAGTCCCACCCAGTTCTCCAGTCGGTCTAGTAATATGCTGTGGTCAACAGTGTCAAATGCAGCACTGAGATCTAATAATACTAACACTGAAGTTCTGCCACTGTCTGTGTTTAAGTGGATGTCATTAAAGACCTTTACAAGAGCAGTCTCAGTGCTGTGGTTTGGACGAAAGCCTGACTGGAACACATCGAAACAGTTATTTAAATGCAAGAAATTACTCAACTGTTGAAAAACAACTTTTTCAATGATTTTACCTAGAAATGGGAGGTTTGATATGGGCCTGTAATTGTTCATTACTGAAGCATCTAGATTATTCTTTTTTAAGAGCGGTTTAATGACTGCAGTTTTCAGGGCCTGTGGAAAAACACCTGAGTGAAGAGATTTGTTTACTATATGAAGTAGATCTGAGGCCATGCAAGGCAAAACATCTTTGAAAAATCCTCTTGGAATAATATCAAGGCAGCAAGAGGAGGATTTCAGAAGTTGAATAATGTCCTCTAGGTTTTTATCATTAATCTGATGGAATTGTGTCATGGTGTTTGAATTGATGTTAAGTGGAGATAGGGACAACACATTTGCTGTTCCTGATGCAGAGGCACTGACTGCTTGTCTGATTTTCTGAATTTTGTCAGTGAAAAAGGAGGCAAAATCATTGCAGGCCCTGGTGGATAGAAATTCAGAGGCTACTGACACTGGGGGGTTAGTTAGTCTGTCGACGGTAGCAAACAAGGCACGTGCGTTGTTTTTGGTAATGATGTCAGAGAAGAACGATTGTCGTGCGTTTTTCAATTACAAATTATAAAGGCCAAGTCTCTCTTTATAGATTTCAAAGTGAACCTGGAGATTTGTTTTTCGCCACCTGCGTTCAGCTTTTCGACATTCTCTTTTTTCTGTTTTCACGGTCATGGCCTTTCTCCATGGAGATATTTTCTTGCCAGACACTTCCTTTACCTTAGTTGGAGCAATGGCATCTATAACATTTTTAATTTTTGAATTAAAATGATGGGGCAGCAGCCTCATCCGTGGCCGAGGCAAAGCAGCGGGTGTGGGAGAAGTTCGGAGAAGACATGGAGAAGGACTTTCGGGCGGCACCAAAGTTGTTCTGGAAAACTGTCCGACACCTCAGGAGGGGGAAGCAGGGAACCATCCAAGCTGTGTACAGTAAGGATGGGACGTTGTTGACCTCAACTGATGGAGTGTTAGGGCGTTGGAAGGAACACTTTGAGGAACTCCTGAACCCGACAACTCCGCCCTCTATGTTAGAGGCAGAGCTGGAGTATGACGGGGGATCAACACCAATCACCCGGGGGAGGTCACTGAGGTCGTCAAACAACTCCACAGTGGCAAAGCCCCGGGGGTGGATGAGATCCGCCCGGAAATGCTGAAGGCTCTGGGTGTTGAGGGACTGTCATGGTTGACACGTCTCATCAACGTTGCGTGGAAGTCGGAAACAGTACCGAAGGAGTGGCAGACCGGGGTGGTGGTTCCCCTTTTTAAAAAGGGGATCAGAGGGTGTGTGCCAATTACAGAGGCATCACACTACTCAGCCTCCCCGGGAAAGTTTACTCTAAGGTACTCGAAAGGAGGGTCAGGCCGATTGTCGAACCTCAGATTGAGGAGGAACAATGCGGATTCCGTCCTGGTCGTGGAACGACGGATCAGCTTTTTACTCTCGCAAGGATCCTGGAGGGGGCCTGAGAGTACGCTTATCCGGTCTACATGTGTTTTGTAGACTTGGAGAAGGCGTATGACCGAGTTCCCAGGGAGTTACTGTGGGAGGTGCTGCGGGAGTATGGGGTGAGGGGGGTCTCTACTCAGGGCCATCCAATCTCTGTACTCCCAAAGCGAGAGCTGTGTCCGGGTCCTCGGCAGTAAGTCGGACCCATTTCCGGTGAGGGTTGGCCTCCGCCAGGGCTGCGCTTTGTCACCAATCCTGTTTGTAATATACATGGATCGGATTTCGAGGCGTAGTCATGGGGGAGGGGGTCTGCAGTTCGGTGGACTAAGGATTGCACCACTGCTTTTTGCAGATGATGTGGTTCTAATGGCTTCATCGGTCTGCGACCTTCAGCACTCACTGGATCGGTTCGCAACCGAGTGTGAAGCGGCTGGGATGAGGATCAGCACCTCCAAATCTGAGGCCATGGTTCTCAGCAGGAAACCGATGGACTGTCCACTCCAAGTAGGGAATGAGTCCTTACCCCAAGTGAAGGAGTTCAAGTATCTCGGGGTCTTGTTCTCGAGTGAGGGAACAATGGAGCGTGAGATGGGCCGGAGAATCGGAAGCAGCGGGAGCGGTACTGCAGTCGCTTTATCGCCACCGTTGTGACGAAAAGGGAGCTGAGCCAGAAGGCAAAGCTCTCTGTCTTCCGGGCCATTTTCGTTCCTACCCTCACCTATGGTCATGAAGGATGGGTCATGACCGAAAGAACGAGATCGCGGATACAAGCGGCCGAGATGGGTTTTCTCCGCAGGGTGGCTGGTGTCTCCCTTAGGGATAAGGTGAGAAGTTCGGTCATCAGGGAGGGACTCGGAGTTGAGCCGCTCCTCCTTCGCGTCGAAAGGAGCCAGTTGAGGTGGTTCGGGGCACCTAGTTAGGATGCCACCTGGGCGCCTCCCTAGGGAGGTGTTCCAGGCACGTCCAGCTGGGAAGAGACCAAGGGGTAGACCTAGGACCAGGTGGAGGGATTATATCTCTTCGCTGGCCTGGGAGCGCCTTGGGATCCCCCAGTCAGAGCTGGTTGATGTCGCCAGGGAAAAGAAAGTTTGGGGCTCTCTGCTGGAACTGCTACCCCCGCGACCCGACCACGGATAAGCGGGAGAAGATGGATGGATGGATGGAATTAAAATGATCTACTAGCTCATTTACTGAGATGTTGGCAGGGGCAAGTGTGGAAGAGAAATTCTGAGTAAACATTTCCCTAGTATTTTCAGTTAAATATCGCTTGTGGTTACCTCTTTTTGAACATTTTTGTGAACAGAAATATGGCTCTCAAAGAAAACACAGGAATGGTCAGAGAGTGCAACATCAGTCACCACAACCTTAGAGATATTCAGACCCTTTGAGATAATTAAGTCCAGAGTGTGCCCCTTATTGTGCGTGGGCTCCGTCACATGCTGAGTCAGTCCATAGCTATCAAGAACACAAAACAGTTCTTTAGCCCCTCTGTCCTGGGGGTTGTCAACATGGATGTTAAAATCACCAACTATGACTAGATGGTCAAAGTCAATACACACTATAGACAGCAGTTCAGTAAAGTCATCAAAGAAGCTTGCACAGTATTTGGGTGGTCTATAGATATTTAGGAACAGAGCTCGAGAGGAGCATTTCAGCCGAAGGGCCACATATTCAAAAGAATCAAAGTTTCCATACGATGTCTTCCTGCATTGAAGAGAATCATTGAACAGAAT